ACCACACCCAGCTAATTTTTGTATTTTTAGTAGAGATGGGGTTTCGCCATGTTGGCCAGGATGGTCACAAACTCCTGACCTCAAATGATCCACCTGCCTTGGCCTCCCAAAGTGTTGGGATTACAGGTGTGGGCCACCGCACCCGGCCTATTGAACAACTATTATAGGCATCTTAGTCTGTTTAGGCTGCTAGAACAGAATACCATAGACTGGGTAGCTTATAAACAACAGAAATTTATTTCTAACGTTTCTGGTGATTGGGAAGTTCAAGATTACAACACTGGCATATTTGGTATCTAGTGATAGCCTACTTACTGTTTCACAGATGGTCTCACAAGGCAAAAGGGGCAAAGGAGCTCTCTGGAGCTCCTTTTACGAGGACACTTATTCTATTTATGAAGGTACTACCCTCAAGACCTGATCAATTCCCAAAGACCCACATCTCCTAATATCATCACACTAGGGGTTAGGAGTTCAACATATAAATGTTGAGGGAAGCCTGGGCAACAATGGCAAAACCTCATCTCTACCAAAAAAAAAATATATATATATATATATATATATATATAAATAATACATATATCTAGTGTATATATAGCACATATATAGTACATATATAGTGTATATGTATACATATATAGTACATATATATAGTGTGTATATATATACACACAGGCACACACACACACACACGCACACATACACACAAAAATCGGCCTAGCATGGTGGTGCCCAGTAGCTGCCAAGTCCCAGCTACTTGGGGGGCTAACCCTCAGGGATCACTTGAGCCCCAGGGGTGGAGGCTGGAGTGAGCCATATTCGCCCTACTGCAAAGGGTCTCAGTTTGTCACCCTGTCTCAAAAAAAAAAAAGGAGAATACAGGGGGAGATAATACAGAGAACAAGATACATGTGGTCTCTGCCCTCACACAGCAAACATTCTAAAGGAAGAAAGATTGCAAATACATCAATAAATTATAGACTATGATTAGGGCAATTAAGAAAAATACGTAAAGTGCTGTGACAGAGATTATTGGGGTAGGCAGTCACAGCAGGCCTCTCTGAGAAGGTGACATGAAGCTGAGACTTGAAAGACAGAAGCCAACTCTGCAAAGAGGGAACGGGGAAAGGTTCCAAGAAGAAGGAAGCAACAAGCACAGTGGCCCTGCAGTGGAGCCAGCTTCAGAGTGTCCTGGGAACTAGAAGGTCAGATGACAAGGGTGGGATCCATCAAAGGCAAGATGGCCTGAGATGTAGTCAAAGAGGTAGTGTGGAAATTAAACTTTTAATGTCAGGACTTGTCATGACAAGAACTAAGGAAGGAAGAAGGGGGCTGATCGCCACCGAGAAACTGGGTGGCCTTCACATCTTAATTATTTTATTATACTATTTTATTTGTGATACAGGGTCTCACTCTGTCACCCAGGCTCGAGTGCAGTGGTTCAAACATGGCTCACTGCATCCTTGACCTCCTCCTGGACTCAGGTGATCCTCCCACCTCAGCCTCCTGGGTACCTGGGACTACAGACACACACCACCAAGTGTGGCTAATTTTTTGCATTTTGTGTAGAGTTGGAATTTCACCATTTTACCCAGGCTGGTCTTGAACTCCTAGGCTCAAGCAATCTGCCCACCTTAGACTCCCAAAATGCTAGGATTACAGGCGTGAGCCACCATGCCTGACCACACCTTAGTTATTTTAATACATCAGATTATTGGCTTTCTTTTAGCTTTCTTAATGTTAATATCTTACATACCATGGTACAGTACATTTCTCAAAAATAAAAGATTGATCCTGGTACAATACTATTAACTATTCTGCTAAACTCAGATCCTTCCAATTGCTCCAGTTTTTCCACTATATTATTTTCTCTGTTCCAGGATACCACATTGCATCATTTGTCAAAGCTCTTTAGTCCCCTCTAATCTGTGACAGTTTCACAGTCTTTCCTTGTTTTTCTTGACCTTGGCACTCTCAAAGAGTGCCAGGTATTTTGTAGACTGTTTCTCAATTTGAATTTTTCTGATGGTTTCTCATGATTAGGCTCAGGTTATGAATTCTAAGTAAGAAACAACAGAGGTCATGTGACAAGCATTCTTTTACTTCTTTTTTTTTTTTCATTCTTGGCTGACCCAAAAAAAAAAAAGAAAAAAAAAAAAAGCCTGGCTGAGAACTGTCTTGTGACACTCAGGGGAGGAGAGATTTTGTAATATTCAGGTGAAGAAGGGGAAGGTTTTCATGAAACTGAGGTGGGGAGAAGGATTTCATGTTATTTCACAAAGAGGGAGAAACATGATTATAAGTGAGTAAGTTCAAAAGTCTGGCTTTGGGTAGGGTGTGGTGGCTCACACTTGTAATCTCAGCACTTTGGGAGGCCAAGGCAAGTGGATCACCCGAGGTCAGGAGTTCAGGACCAGCCAGGGCAACATGGCAAAACCCTGTCTCTACTAAAAATGCAAAAAATCAGCCGGAAGTGGTGGCGCACACCTGTAATCCCAGCTACTTGGGAGGCTGAGGCATGAGAATCACTTGAACCCGGGAGGTGGATGTTGCAGTGAGCTGAGATCATGCCATTGCACTCCAGCCTGGGTGACAGAGCGAGACTCCGTCTCAAAAAAAAAGTCTGGCTTCAGTCAAATAGTCTGATAGCATGCATATCAAATGGGACACAGTGTCCAGCAAAATTTTTAAAAGCTGGGTTTTCGCTAAGGTTTGAACCCTTTCTCTCATGGGGAGTTTAAGTCGTGTGAAGCTCTATTGTGGGGTTGTTTCTGTTCATCAGTAGGTAAAGATAGTGTCGCACACAATTAGATTTGAAGTGATTCCAAGACTAGGGGAAGTTGGCAAAGGGTTTTAGACCAGAGACTGGTATTCCGAGCTGAAGAAACAGCATAGTGAAAGGCATGCAGGCGTGAGGGAGCACTTGGCATATTCAAGTAATTGGATTGCTTGAAGGGTAGGATGAGCAAGGGAAGCAGTGAGAGAGAAGATTAGAAAAGAGTCAGGGGCCACAGCAGGAAGGGCCTTCTACACCATGTGAAGGTATTCGGGATCTTATAAATGATCCGGAAGTCAACAGTTCCCTTCATTCTGAACCATGGTCCAAAGCCCAGCCCAATCCAATTACCTTGCAAGTTTAAGTCACACATTTCAGGCAAAGGTAAGGGGCAAGTTCACCATTTGCTCAGGCAACATTCCTTATCAGTTGGTCAAGACTGTTAGCTAACATGTTATGGAAAACAGCACCTTGTTACTATTGGATTGGCCATCACCAATATTTATTTTGCTTGTGCTACTGAAAGGAGTGGTTGTGTGTCTCAGACATCCTCATTCATTTCTTGTACTGACTGTGTGATTACATGTTCTCTTTTTCTCTAGATCTTTCTACCTTCTCCTTTATAGTTGCCTTGGCACCTTCCACTAATCATTAAATGTTGATTAAATCTCAAGCCCTTTTCTCACCCTATGCTCTTCCTCCCTACGTGATTTTATCTAGCCTTGTGCTTCCCTTGCTATCCATGTCCTGAAAATTTGTTTGTTTGTTTATTTATTTATTTATTTTCTTGAGACAGAGTCTTGCTCTGTTGCCCAGGCTGGAGTGCAGTGGCTCAATCTCGGCTCACCGCAACTTGCGCCTCCCAGGTTCAAGCAATTCTCCTGCCTTGGCATCCTGAGTAGTTGGGATTGCAGGTGTCTGCCACCACACCCAGCTAATTTTTGTACATTTAGTAGAGACATGGTTTTGCCATGTTGGCCAGGCTAGTTTCAAACTCCTGACCTCAGGTGATCTGCTTGCCTCAGTCTCCCAAAGTGCTGAGATTACAGGCATGAGCCACCGTGCCTGGCCAACGTCCTGAAAATTTAAAAATCTATTCCACCTGAATTGCCACCTCTAGGCTGTACTTTCAACTGGTTCCTGGCTTCTGACCCTTCCATGACACATGAACCTCAAGCTCAGCATGTTGAAAACAAAATTTTGAGGGGTCAGGCATGATGGCTCACGCCTGTAATCTCAGCACTTTGGGAGGCCAAGGCAGGCGTATCACAAGTTCAGGAGATTGAGACCATCCTGGCTAACACAATGAAACCCCATCTCTACCAAAAATACAAAAAATTAGCCAGGCATGGTGGCGGGCGCCTGTAGTCCCAGCTACTCGGGAGGCTGAGGCAGGAGAATGTTGTGAACCCGGGAGGCAGAGTTTGCAGTGAGCCGAGATCATGCCACTGCTCTCCAGCCTGGGCAGCAGAGCGAGACTCCGTCTCAAAAAAAAAAAAAAAAAAAAAAAAGGCTTTGTATCTTCCTTTCCTCCACTAGTATCTGCTCCTCCCTCCTTCCTTCAGCTGTTATGACAATCAATCACCTGATCTCCCAAATTAGAACACTTGAAGTAATCTCTAATGTCTCCTTCTTTGTTACTTCCCACATCTAATCTGCTGCTCAAATTTGTCCATTAGTTTCTTTCTTTGTTTGAGACAGGATCTCACTCTGCTGCCTAGGCCAGAGTACAGTGGGGTGATCTCGGCTTACTGCAGCCTCGACCTCCCAGACTCAAACAATCCTCCCACCTCCGTCTCCCAAGTAGCTGGGAATACAGGCATGCACCACCTCAACTGGCTATTTTTTAATGCAAATTTTTACGTTAAAATATGTTTACAGGGCCAGGGGCGGTGGCTCAAGCCTGTAATCCCAGCACTTTGGGAGGCTGAGGCGGGCAGATCACGAGGTCAGGAGATTGAGACCATCCTGGCTAACACGGTGAAACCCCGTCTCTACTAAAAATACAAAAAACTAGCCGGGCATAGCGGCGGGCGCCTGTAGTTCCAGCTACTCGGGAGGCTGAGGCAGGAGAATGGCGTAAACCCGGGAGGCGGAGCTTGCAGTGAGCCGAGATCGCGACACTGCACTCCAGCCTGGGCGTCAGAGCGAGACTCGTCTCAAAAAAAAAAAAAAAAAAAAAAAAAAGTTTACAAAGCATAGTAATTGTTTTTCCTCTTGATTCAACATTTCTCCCTCCCCTAACAGGAGCCCTAGAGCCTGAAGAGCATGTACATTACTAACCAAATATACAATCCAGCCGCCCTGTCCAAACAGGAATCTGATTACTAATGGACGAGAATCGGGGCTGCCCTCAAGGGATGGGAAGCAGTAACTATGACCTCAGGGAGAATGGGTACTGAGGGTGCCACCAATCAGAGTCAAAAGCTGTGCACTGGATCCAGGATGACTTGTGCATCCTGTTCACTGTGCAGTTTCCGACCACCACGGACAGGGGAATCTTGGAACACCAGTCTCACTCGATAATGCCATATGTCCGTGCTCACATTGATAGTAAACAGAGTGAATATCATTCCCATGACAATCGGAATAAAGATGAAATTGAGGGTGGTGACCTGCAGTAGGCAGCAGTCCTAGTATGGATTAGTATGAACATCTTCGTACTGAACGGGAGGCTGCAATCCTCCTGTACACTTGCTCTTTAACCTAGGGGACTGTTTTTTTAACTTGAAGTTGAATTTCCACATTGGTTCCTGTCTTTTGCCAACAATCTTTCTGCACCAGAAAAGTAAGCATTTGGAATTCTTTTATGTGCTGGGGGTGCTTTCTGCAATGGCTGGATTCTTGGAGATTGGAGCAGGAAATGGCTCATACATATATGGTACAGAGATCGGATCACACAAGCCCGGAGACAGCGCAGCTTCTCCATTGACTCTGGTCTCAGACGCAAAGGCAGGGAAGCATCCAGCGTGTAGTGCCTTCGGTACAACCTGATCCAAAAGGCAGCAGTGCAAATGACAGTCCAAGCATTCTTACAAATCAGAGAAAATTTCACAACGTCCTCAAGACGGATATAGGAGGCCAGCAACAGCCAAATATCCATGGGATACTCCTCTCCTCCAGCCCCGTCCAGTTCTTCTTTGTGCCTCTTGCTTTTCTTTTTTCTGGAGACAGTTCTCTCACGGATGCTTTCCTCCTGGGCATCCATCTCATCACTGCTGTCGATGATGTCACAGGGCTCACCAGCCCCAGAAAGAGCTTCCTCTGCAGGAACCTGAGAGGCTTCCAAGCCACAAAGAGATTTTACTTCCTGCTGAACAGCGTTGGCTACGGCTTTCTTGACTCTTCCAGACCTCACGACCGGCGGATCCGTGTTGGCGTAATCCATTTCGGTCACTCGGCCGAAGGAGGTGTCGTGGGCCTGGAACTTGGGTCGCTTTCCTCTGTTGGGCATGGCGACCGTACCGGGGCGTGGCCTGCATAGCGGGCGTGAGAGCCGGCCCCGGAAGCCTCAGGCCAGCTCCGCCCGGCTCCGCGGCCATCCCACACCAGAGGCCGCTAACTCGCCCACGACTGGCTATTTTTTGTATTTTTTGTAGAGACGGGGTTTCGCCATGGCCTCAAACTCCTGAGCTTAAATCCTCCCGCCTCAGGCTCGGATGAGCCACTATGCCCGGCCAAATTTGTCGATTTTTATACCTATGTTTTCCCCTTTTCCCCATATACTTGATGTCACATCTTCATCTCTCATCTGAGCTATTATTTCATCATAGGACTTACCACTCTCTGTAGTGATTTATTCGGATTACATCTATGTTGAGGAATAGGCACCGGATGCTCTGTGGCGCTAGTTCTTACCCATATATGTATGAAACCTAGGCGAACCCCATAGTTTATCTTTCATTCTAAGAGGTAAAAAATATTCTGATCACGGCCAGACGTGGTGGCTCACTCCTGTAATCTCAGCACTTTGGGAGGCCGGGGCAGGCAAATCACTTAAGGCCAGGAGTTCAAGACCAGCCTGGCCAAGATGGTGAAACCCTGTCTTTACTAAAACTACAAAAATTAGCTGGGCATGGGGGCTCGCACCTGTAATCCCAGCTACTCAGGAGGCTAGAGCAGGAGAATCACTTGAGCCTGGGAGGCAGAGGTTGCAGTAAGCCGAGATCAGCCATTGCACTCCAGGATGGGCAACAAGAGCAAAACTCTGTCTCAAAAAAAAAAAAAAAAAGAGAGAAAAGAAAGAAAATATTCTGATTGCTTTCAGCCACATGAAAAACTAATGTTAGAAATTAATATGTCTGATGCAGTATAATAATTGGAACTCTTGACTTTATGTCAACTTAAAGCACCTTCCTTTCCTCAGTGTGGCCTGCTCAAGGCAGAAGCTTGCACTCAAGAAGGGGGTGGTTGCCTGCTTCTCTTTTTCCTCTGGGAGCCTCTCCTCCACGGGCCTGCACTTTCTGGGACTTCTAACCCTTCAGGCTTGGAGTTTCTCTGAACATGTTAAATGATTTGAGCTGATGCTTCTCTCCTGGTTACTCCAATGGGCTGGCCAGGAAGCTCTCTGACTGTTGCTCTTCACTTGGAGGTAGGGGATGGCCTCTGCTTTGGTTGGTCACTCATCACCACTGGCAACCTTAGCATGGGGTGGCCATCTCCACATGGACTGTCTCTCTGTTGTGTCCCATCACACTCTCAGGCAGTCCTCTTGGGCAAGATCTCTTTTTCTCTTTTTTAAAAACAGGGTCTTGCTATGTTGCCTAAGCTGGAGTGCAGTGGCTATTCATAGGCGTGATCATAGCTCACTGTGGCCTCCAACTCCTGGGCTCAAGCAGTCCTCCTGCCTCAGCCTCCCAAGTAGCTGGGACTATAGTCACACCCCACAGCGCCAGGCAAAATCTCTTTATAAATGATGCCAGGTCAGAACTCATACATCATGTTTCACCTCTGGTCCCAGAAAATAAGCACCTTAGACCCACTGCTTGGGGAGCGCAGCTGCTTCTAAGGCAGCCTCGAAACCTGTTTTTTTTCAATGACAAATTTATTGAGATATAATGCACGTATCATAAAATTCAGCACTGAAGCACATTTCCATGGGTGTTAACATATTCATAAGGTTGCATAACCATCCCCTCTTTCTAATTTCAAATATTTTCATCACTCCAAAAAGAAACCCCTGACGCATTAGCAATCATTCTGCATTCCCTCCTTCTAAGCTCTGGAAACCACCCATCTACTTCCTGTTTCTATGAATTTTCTTATTCTGGACATTTCATATAAATGGAACTGTACAAGATGTAGTCTTTTGTGTCTGCCTTCTTTAACTTAGCATTATGTTTTCAAGGTTCATCCATGTTGTAGCATGAATCAGATCACCGTTTCTTTTTATGACTGAAAATATTCCATGGTTTGGAGATACCACATTTTGTTTATTTATGTTTGTTTATTGATGGACATTTGGGTTGTTTATATTTGTTGGTTATTATGAATAATGCTACTATGAGCATTCATGTGCAAGTTTTTGTATGGACATATGTTTTCATTTCTCTTGGGCATATACATAGGAGCACAATTGCCTGGTCATATGGTGACTCTATGTTTAAATTTTTGAGGAACTGCCAAACTGTTTTCCAAAATGGCTGCACCATTTTACAATCCCATTGCAATGTATGAGGGTTTCTAATTTCTCCGTATCCTGGCCAGTGCTTCCTATTTTGTTTTCTTTGTTATTTTACACATCTAGCAGACATGAAGTAGTATTTCACTGAGGCTTTGATTTGCATTTTCCCAAACTACCAGATGATGTTGAGCAGCTGTTCATGTACTTATTAGTCCCTTGTATATCTTCTTTAGAGAAAGTCTATTCAAATCCTTTGCCCAGTGTTTTTCAACTTCTATTTTTGTTCAGGGGCTAAATGTCCAGGTTTGACACATTAGTAAATTGTGTGTCACTGAGGTTTGGTGTACAAATGATCCCATCACCCAGGTAGTGGGCATAGGTAGTTTTTCAACCCTCACCCTTCTTCCATCCTCCCTCCTCTAGTAGCCCCCAGTGTCAGTGGGCAAGGCAGCTCCTGCCTATGAGCCCAGCATTTGGAAGGCCAGGAAGGAGGATTGCTTTTGCCCAAGAATTTGAGAACAGCCAGGGCAACATAGTGAGACTCTGTCTCTACAAAAAAAAAAAAAAAAAGTTGTCTTTTTAAAAAATTTATCCAGGTATGGTGGCACATGCCTGTAATCTTATCTACTCAGGAGGCTAAGTTGTGAGGATCACTTGATCCCTGAAGGTTAAGGCTGCAGTGAGCTGTGATTGTGCCACTGCATTCCAACCTGGGTGACAGAGTGAGATCTTGTCTCAAAATTAATTAATTCTCACTCTGTCCCCAGTGTTATTATCCCTTCTTATGTCCTTGTGTACTCAATATTTAGCGCCCACTTATAAGTTAGAACATGTGGTGTTTGGTTTTCTGTTCCTGCATTAATTCACTTAGGATAATGGCCTCCACCTGCATCCATGTTACTGCAAAGGACGTGATTTCGTTCTTTTTTATGGCTGCATAGTATTCCATGGTGTATATGTACCACATTTTCTTTATCTAGTTCACCATTCATTGGCACCTAGGTTGATGCATTGTCTTTGCTATGGTGAAAGTGCTGTGATAAACATACGAGCGCACATGTCTTTTTGGTAGAATGACTTACTTTCCTTTGGGTATATACCCAGTAATAGGATTGCTGGGTTGAATGATAGTCCTGTTTTAAGTTGAGAAATCGCCAAACCCTTTTCCATGGGGACTGAACTAATTTACATTCCCACCAACAGTGTATAAACATTCCCTTTTCTGTGCAACCTCAGCAACATCTGTCATTTTTTGACTTTTTTTTTTTTTTTTGAGACGAGTCTCACTCTGTCACCCAGGCTGGAGTGCAGTGACGTGATCTTGGCTCACTGCAAGCTCCGCCTCCCGGGTTCATGCCATTCTCCTGCCTCAGCCTCCCGAGTAGCTGGAACTACAGGCGCCCGCCACCACGCCCGGCTAATTTTTGTATTTTTAGTAGAGACAGGGTTTCACTGTGTTAGCCAGATGGTCTCCATCTCCTGACCTCATGATTCGCCCACCTCGGCCTCCCAAAGTGCTGGGATTACAGGCATGAGCCACTGCACCTGGCCCATTTTTTGACTTTTTAATAGCCAACCAGAGTGACATGAGATGGTATCTAATTGTGGTTTTGATTTGTATTTCTTTAATGATTAGTGATGTTGAGCATTTTTTCATGTATTTGTTGGCTGCATGTATATCATCTTTTTTTGTTTCTTTTCTTTTATTATTATACTTTATGTTCTAGGGTACATGTGTACAACGTGCAGGTTTGTTACATATGTATACATGTACCATGTTGGTGTGCTACAACCATTAACTCATTATTTACATTAGGTATTTCTCCTAATGCTATTCCTCCGCTCTCCCCCCACCCGACAGCAGGCCCCAGTGTGTTAATTTCCCCTTCCTCTGTCCAAGTGTTCTCATTGTTCAATTCCCACCTGTGAGTGAGAACATGCGGTGTTTGGTTTTCTGTTCTTGTGATAGTTTGCTGAGAATTATGATTTCCAGCTGTATCCATGTTCCTACAAAGGACATGAACGCAACCTTTTTTAATGGCTGCATAGTATTCCATGGTGTATATGTGCCACATTTTCTTAATCCAGTCTGTCATTGGTGGACATTTGGGTTGGTTCCAAATCTTTGCTATTGTGAATAGTACCGCAATAAACATACATGTGCATGTGTCTTTATAGCAGCATGATTTATAATCCTTTGGGTATATACCCAGTAATGGAATGGCTGGGCCAAATGGTATTTCTAGTTCTAGATCCTTGAGGAATCGCCACACTGTCTTCTACAATGGTTGAACTAGTTTACAGTTCCACCAACAGTGTAAAAGTGTTCCTATTTCTCCACATCCTCTCCAACACCTGTTGTTTCCTGACTTTTTAATGATTGCCATTCTAACTGGTGTGAGATGGTATCTCATTGTGGTTTTGATTTGCATTTATCTGATGGTTAGTGATGACGAGCATTTTTTCATGTGTCTGTTGGCTGCATAAATGTCTTCTTTTGAGAAGTGTCTGTTCATATCCTTTGCCCACTTTTTGGTGGGGTTGTTTGTTTTTTTCTTGTAAATTTGTTTGAGTTCTTTGTAGGTTTTGTATATTAGCCCTTTGTCAGATGAGTAGATTGCAAAAATTTTCTCCCATTCTGTAGGTTGCCTGTTCACTCTGATGGTAGTTTCTTTTGCTGTGCAGAAGCTCTTTAGTTTAATTAGATCCCATTTGTCAATTTTGGCTTTTGTTGCCATTGCTTTTGGTGTTTTACACATGAAGTCCTTGCCCATGCCTATATTCTGAATGGTATTACCTAGGTTTTCTTCTAGGGTTTTTATGGTTTTCGGTCTAATATTTAAGTTTCTAATCCATCTTG